TAACCCATTTCAGAGCATTTTCAGAGAATGCATAAAAATATCAAACATCGTCAAAAGGCTAAAAAATATTGAGCCAATTCACTCCCAATTAGGATGTGTGTTTCATCTACAAGATCTAAAGACCAGAACCAAATAATAATGAACATCCAAAATGTTATAGTCAGGTACATTCGATCTAAAGTACACTGTGTGCGTTATATAATCCTCAAATGTACTCGCCAGAGGAGAGGCTGAATCTAACACCAAGAGCTTTCTGCACTTTTATTGTTATGGGGGATGATGTGATATTAGAATAACACACCTGCAACTTTGTTTAGCTTGCAAATATACAGGCCAACCTGCAACCATGCAAATGGTTCCTGCAGTTGCCCTACTAAACTCATGCATACTACATTGATTTACACCACTTTAATTGAGACCAAACAACCATATCACACTATACTGTGCCATGTGAGTGCTTCAGAGATTAAGATATAACTATGTCCCAGAATACAAAGGTTGCATCCACTTCTTTTTTCTGCTGAGGTCAATTTAGGACACATGAGCTTTAATACGTGTGTGCAACCTGCTACATCTTAATGCCTTAATATAAAACAACAGCAAAATGATAATGCTAGCATGAAGCATTTCTCCAGGATACCTTAAAAAAATCTAGTGAAAGCTTAAATCTGTCTCTAAAAAATGAGAGCTATTAACCAACACATATCCAAGGTGATAACAGTGGACAGCATAAAACGAAATGGCCACTTCCATTTCAAAAAGGATAGTTCATCCAAAAATGAAAAATCTGATCATTTATAAGTTGTTTCGAACCTGTGTAAATTTCTCTATTCCAGGGATTCTCTGAGAATAATTCTATGAGAATTGAGAAGTCCGCATCACAGTTATAATGAAAACGCAAAGGAACGGCCACCTGACAAATGATAAAAACATTGACAGCCATTCAGAATATCAGAATTTAAGAGTCGAGCAAATAAGTTTAACTGCAGCATGCTTATAATAAACAGAATAATATTTTCCCTTGATGTGAAGTAGGCTAAAACAGGCCATAGTTATCTTTAGTTGTTGCTCATGGTGTAAATTGGCCTTTACTCTCTTATGAGTGAATGAAAGATTTTTTGTAGTAACAAACATGGCTATCTTTTAATTGCTGTGAGACTCTTCAAACGCTTATTCACGCAACACTGCAAATCACAATGAGTTTGTCTTCAAGTCCTGTTGCACAGCATTCTCTTCTAAAACTAACATTTTAACATTCCAACATGTATTAAGAGCATGACACAACAAAAAACATCTTATCTCAGGCAGTTACTCAATCATCACATCTAAAAGACCATGAACTGGGTCAATGATGTGTAACGAAAACTCCAGGACCCATTCGTGGAAATGAGTGACCAGCACATTGTTCAATATTTCTCCTTGTGTGCTACACAGAAGAAATGCAGTCATGCAGGTTTGGAACGATATTACAGCAGAACAGTAAATGATTGCTAACGTAATGAACACAGGCGTCATTTACAGAACACACTAAAGTGAATGTACATCTATAGATTGTCCTCCAGATAATCTATAAAAGAGAGTTTATGTTACAGCAGACTGAGGACTATAGTTACAGAAAATAGCATTCTAAATAGCATACATCCTATCCTTGGTCCCATATTACCAGACAACTCAATGAAAGGGTTTTTAACATTCGATGCTTGCTGATGATGGATTAGTATGGGTACATCACTGATATCAAGACCCCTTCTTTCCACAGTCTATCCCCTTTCAGTCCAAAATTGACATTGATCTGTTACAGAGCATTCCCAGACTTCCTTGCGTCCCCAAAGAGAGATGGAGGAGCCAGATGAAGGACCTCTGGGGCTTCAGGAGAGGAAACAGCCCTTCTAAAAAATACAAGTGTGCCCTGAGCAAGGCAAAAGACAGCGCTATAAAGTAATTGGAGTGAAAAGAGCAAAACATAAACTGACGATCTTGAAGCTGCAGCCAATTTCTTGAGCCACATTCAGAGCTAAAGCGTTTCTGTAAAAAACAAATCAAATTATATTCCTGTGATGTTTTATGCTATCTCATTTTACTCTCTCTCTCTCTCAGTGGATTTCAAATTAATAGACTAAAAATGTGCAGTTTCTTCAAATCGGTTGTCAAGTGAATTCGAACCAGCAAACTCCAACCAGAACATCTAAAACATAATTTCATTGCCGCTGATTTGATTTTATGGTTCAACTTCACAGCGATAAGGCAAATGATAGAGAAAATGTTTCAGTAAGCAAGCAGACACAGGGCCAATTGTCTAAACTCGCTGTAAAGACCATGTCAACCCTGCATATTTATGATTTCGAATGAGCATAAAATTATGAGTGGAAATGAGAGGAGGCACAGCTGACTGACACAAGCTGGTGGGTGTGGGAAGTCATTTCATGGTGTAAATAAATACATTTGCCTGACTCTGTCAAGTTAGGTGACTCAGCCCATATCACGGAAGCTGAACACATAGCACTGCAGTGCTGCACATCACGACAACTGCGAGCTCGCCTGCATGAGAACTGGTGCAGTATAATGTATTTCAAAACCTTAAAATGTTCAGATTTTATGCAGTGAATGTGTAAATGTCACCAGCGGAATATAAAGATGCAGCGAGGCGGAGAAACAAACTGGACTGAAGGTCTTTTTTCCCATGGCATTAATGATAGAACGACATATCTGCCAGGCCGATAAATCAGCTGATATTGGGCCATTTTGAGATTATCAGCATCAGCATCATCAAGTTTCATCTTGGACAATGCACAATTCTTTGCATCAATTTTGAATGAATTTGAAGTATCAAAAAACAAATTGGGAGCTATTATTCCTATATGTGTGCCTATTTGAATGCCGTCTCTCAACCCCGCTTCCCTCGATTCATATTACTCTTAATCATAGTAAATATTTTCTAATCAAAATTTTAAGCAGCCATGTAATATGCACGACAACATGAGTTAAACTGGTCATTATTGCGAATTAATATGTGGCTCTCTGGAATAGTTACTCAATTATGATACATTACATAGGCTATAATAATTTAAGTCGACTTAAATAATACTCTATTTAATTTTTTTTCTATGAAAGATTGGGAGCAGGTCTTTTACATTTTTTTCCCAAATAGAGCAAAACATGGTAGCCTATAAATTGTAGGCTACAGGACTGAGAATTTTGAAGATTCAAAATAAAGCGTAAATCCAATTTAGTTTATCCCTAGAAGACGTTCCTGCATGCATCACTTATCTGCATGGATACTAATAGTGTTTATAAATCAAAAAAGGTGCGAAGCTTATGCTCTTCAGATCCTCCTAGAGTGGATGGTGAATGAATTATTAGTCGTGATCTGAACAGCTCCACTTTGCGCAGCGGCAGCAGTCAGTCAGTCAGTCACGTGCACGCCCGGAGGAGGGAGTGTGTGGCTTTCGTGGACCCGCGTCAGTGGTCCCGCCCCTTTCTCATTCTACTACGTCTAAAGGCGGCGAGCGAGCACATGACTGCAGTAACTGTGTTCTATAACTCCAGTCACGAGGATGGAGTACTATTATTACACTGACCAGACTGCGCGCTCACGCCAATAACCCGAAATGAGCACATTTACAACGCTTACACTATTCCCGCTGACACAAGGACAAAGGACAAACACCACCGAGCGCTTTCTCACAGCGTTCAAATGTTTCAAGGAGTCCGAAAACGAGTCGGTGACACCTGACACACAGTAGCATACGTAGCGCGCGATTTGTTGTAAACATGCACAATTCAATTCGATTTAATTCACAATACGAAAATCATAGCATAGCCTACTTGATCAGCGCGTGCCGCTTTCAGAATTTAAGATGAATTAATGGCCGTATTCTGCGCCTCATCCATGTCTAAACATCACTATGCTATGCGTATATAATTTCAGTGATGTAACGTAAAAGTGTCCGTATGTTTCAAAGTAAGCATTCTAAGCGTTATATTGTAACTCCCTATTCTGCGTGTATTGTATCTATAAATAAACATTATGCAGTGCGACAACAGCCTGTTTGACATGACAAGCACGAAAGTGCAAAATGCACAGCGTTAATTTATTAATATCGACAGCCATAGGCTACTAGCACATGGTGACCGGATCGTTTGACTACTATGGCACCAAGCTCGTTTTGTAACAGTTACGCAAACGCTTACGAAAACAATACATAATGTCAAATGAGCAAAGAGTTCCGATCTCTACACTATATTGTACAAATATACTACTATATCACAACTTTTTGTAAACATTTTGTATCCTTCTGCATTAGTTTGGCAACTTTATACTGGCACACTGCGTTTGTTTAATAGGCTATCTTAGCTCAAGCAAAACAGGTCAGTTATGGATATTGTGCAATTATTCAATTTTATCCTGAAATAACTGCATCAATATTAGTACCTGTACCGACTAAAAATTACACGTGATGCATTAAACAAAAAAGACAAAAAACAATAAACATAAAAAACAACAGTTCTCCTGATCTGTGTTTACTTTACATCTCTCACAATGAACTCGTATCGAATCAATGCGCTTTCGTTATTGAAACTACAAGATCCCATCAAGAAACTTAGTCAAGTTCAGAGTTCCCACGTGTCTCACACACACACACACAGAGAGACCGGGAAATTGGTGTGATTTTTGGCAAACTGTCGAACACACTTGAACTTGTGTCATTACACTTGTGAAGTCATTAACCTTGCCCTAATCGCTAATCCTCGAAAGTAGACTTAAAAAGAGCGCTTATTTGTACATCATTCGTCTATAAGACACTTTTCGCATGCATGCATTATTTCCTGTGAACTCCACGTGAAGCGCAGACGTCAGGGACTCCAGACGCCGGCTGAGACGCTGTGACAGCATCGATGAAATGATGGAAGTGTATCGCGCCACAGACAGTAACATGCAAAAATACACCCGGGGAATAACAGCCACGATTCCGTTGTACCAGAAATTGTCCATGGCTTACCTGGCTTCCGGAGTTTTCAGTCAAATAATTGAAGACAAATGAAGAGAGCTCCTCATCTAACAGTGAAGCGCAGTCCGCCATCTTCTAGAGAATGAAGGGAGAGGAGCCAGAGAGCACTGCTATACTGCTCTCCCTCCCCGCATGCAGTAATGATCTCTAACCGACCGAGGGCAGTGTGCTGAGCTCACTGTGCTGCTTCCCAAACATTGCTGGATTAAATAAAACCGCAGAGATTTGAATTATTTGAAGGTGCAGGTGGGTTTAACACAGGTTGGTGGCTGAAGAAGGATGCATGTTCTTAACTGCAACTGAAGCTGCTTATGCTGCTTACATTTCAGTGTCTATGACTCATTTATGATGCTAGTTTATGTCCAAAGTCCATTTTAGCTTTGTGCATATAATATAAAGCTTGCTACCACACAACCCACCAAAGGATGTATTTGTATGCATCCTTTAATATAGGCCTACGCATAGACAATGCAGTATACACAACATAACATTTTGGGCCTTTAGAGTTCTTGTTTGATTTAACAAAATGTACATCTCATTAGCCATCATTACATTGAATTAATCATTATACACTTGCATTATATAATTGGCCTTGGTCCACTGTAAATATTAGCATTATTATTATTTCATATTATTATAAATTCATTATTATTATTTAACTGTAGCCTACTAGAGAGTCTTTTGACTTTATATTTGAGGCACTTATCTTTGACCCTAGTAGCCTACTAATAAGTAAAATAATGAAATACAAATGATAGATAAAAAGAAGTTGAACTGCCTACTGTAAGCCTGGTCCCAGAGTTTAAGGTGATAAAGTTTGATATATGAGTAGAGCATTCAAATCTATGTAAACAATTAGGGTAATTACCCTGTAATCAGACTCATTGATTGGCTGCTCATGTCAAGTGCAGTTTCACAGTCACTCACAAGCTTTCTCTATGATTTGGGGATTTTGACAGCTTCAAGTAACCTCAATATTATTTATCATGAATCGAGCTACTTAATTGCTTGAGTCATTTACAGTGTGACATCCCAAAGATCACCAGTTGACTCTTACTCAAGAGAAGTTTAAGAGTCAACTGCCATATAAATGATTTGCATCTAACACATAAATCTTACAGATATTAAGATAAACTGTTTACAAGGCAAACTAATAAATCTGAATTGACAAGCCCTCGAAGGACTATTACAACTTCTCAGTCAAATCAGAAATTACCCCAAGGCCCCATCAGTCTATTGAACTGTGTGCTGACTGGCCGGCTATCGACCAAACACATGCTGTTTGAATGTTTGAGGTCAAAGCAAAAGTTTGATTCCAACCATGCCTCTTTGAAAACACACTGTATACAACATATTATGCTCTTAGACGCTTGATTGACAAAACGTAGGTGGTGCTAATTGTTAGAGCAAAAAAAGAAAACAAATGGGACAACAGAGGCAACGAAAACCAAACGTTCAGTGACATTTGAGACTGGATTTAGAGTGGGACTTCAAGATTGTTACTTAAGCCAACAAGCCTACCTTCCATAAGAGTGTGAAAGGTCACTGGGGGGATTTGACAGCCCTCAGCGTCTGGAAGGTGTCTGACAGCTGTCAGGCTGGAGGAGTTTGTTGTCTGTTGGAGTTATCAGTCAAGAGAAGAGTTCATTTCATCAGTCCAGGGCCTGAAATTAACACCCGACCACCTGCCAAATGCGGGTGAATTTTGCTATTGGCGGGTAACACTGTCAATCTACCTGCCACATTGGCGGGTAGCCAATGAGAATTGAGTGATTCATTAGGTTTTTTTTTTACGTTTTCATTTTCATTGCGTTGGACCTTAGCTGTAATGTGGCGGCACATTACTGGGGTAAAAAGGCCAGCTGAAACAAGCAACCAACAAAAAGATGAGGATGAGTCAAAGAAAAGTAAAAGAAGACATTTTAAAACAAAGTGGTCAATTGGCGACAACGGCAAGGTTCGTGAACGGCTGATTTATGACAGCGACTGTTGTTTCGTAACGTTCATGCGATCAGAAAGAAGATGAGGCCCTTTTCTGACTACGTTTGGATGTGCCAGTATTGAACTGTTGGTGAGATGGGATGAGATAATGTAACGCTGACGTAGGCTCCAGAACAATGACAGTTGCACAGATGTGTGCGTGTGCAACTGTAGTACATGTTGGGAGTTGGGAACCGGTGAGAAAATGTCCGGTACCCGGTAACTTTACCAGTAATAATATTAATTTAGTTCTGCTTAACGGTTCCTGAACGCTGTAACTAAAAGCTGTCAGGACCTAGCTGTCTACGTGACTAAATCAGCCATCAACACAGCCGCGGGTGATTTGTTTAACGTTACATACGAGCTGCGGTAGGTCTATAGATCTGTTGTGCGTGTGTGTGTCAAAATCAATGAATAAAAAGATTTTTTTTAAATGTATATTCTAAGAGTTATTATTACTTATATTGATTTCGTTAATAACTTGACAGCACTTAAATGTGTACAAGTTAAAGAACAATTTTGTGAAATTCCCGTTTTTCACCTATGAAAATGAGGCAAAAAAAAAAAAAGGCTGGTAAAAAGTCTCTGTGGCAGGTGAATTTTGATATCCACCTGCCACAGTGGCTGGTGGCCAAAAAAGTTAACTTCAGGCCCTGCATCAGTCATATCATTTCATTGATTATGCCCCAATGTATGGAGGTCAACAACATTGTCCCTTCAGCTGCAGTTGTCCGAGGACAGCAATCGATAGAATTCACACATTGTTTTCTGATCCTGAAGCATGCATGCATGACGTTTTTTCATGTTTTTTGTTTGCCTTGATCAATGAGACAGCATGTTGCAGGTGCTGGTGTTAGAGTCTATGCATGCATACTGCAGACATCTGTCACCGTGCTTTATGACTGGAAGGTGATTTAATGGGGGCCTCCGTGTGAATGGACAGGGCACTGAGAGGAGACAAATCAAAGAGCACACTTGCTTATGCACCAAGGGCTGTTGCAATAAATTTATGAAGATTGTCACGTTGGAACATTGGTTTCAATTTCAGAATGACACTTTCAGAGTCCCGATGTTGTGAAATGCCCTGCTGGGGAATCCATATTAGGCCCCATCCACACTACTGCGTTTTAGTTTAGAAACGGACAATTAAAACGAATACGATCTCCGTCCACACCAGCGTTTTAGCTGCGTATTAGAATTGATCTCCGTCCACATTAAAACGACTGAAAACGCGGATCAAGTGACCATTCACCAACACTGGGCCTGCGCGTGCCGGTGTAAACAACTTCATTGATAAAATTATCCCACCATGCTCTGGGTTAACCCCAAACCGACGCTCCATGTACGGTCAACGCCGCCGCTGCACACGGGAATTGTCACAGATCGCTCGAATAATAGCTTGACTCCGGCGCATGTAGGCAGTTATAGCGTTGTAAAATGCGGAATTTACTTGTGCAACAGCTGCTAGCAAAGATATACGCCATGACTGATGACACCCAATCATAGAGCCGAGCGTGAGCCTCTACTACGTCATCGTTTTCTAAAGTCCTCCTTTTTGACACGTCTACACTAAAACGCCCTCTGGAGATTCAAAACGAAAAACGGATCGGCAGCGTTTCTAAACTTCTCCGTTTTGGGTCTCCGTTTTTGCCATTTTAGTGTGGACGGGAGGTGCAAACGTAGCAAAAGGTCTCCGTTTTTAAACGAAAACGCAGTAGTGTGGACGGGGCCTTAGGCCCCGTTTACACGAGAACGATTCCGGGTGAAAACGTAAAAATATTTTATCGGATGTGCCTTTCGTTTACACGGCAACGGCGTTTTGGGGGCTTAAAAACGCAAAAAAGTGAAACCACCCTCCAGAGTGGAAATCTTAAAAACGCTCCACCGTCGCGTTCCCGTCTAAACGGTAAAAACGCAAATCTGCTCACGGTGGCTCTCGCCGCGTACGGATTTACGTCACAGGCATGCGCCAGTACAGGAAAATAACAACCAACATGTCAGATTATTTCCATACGTCGGACCTTTAAGTTGCCCTAGCAGCTCTGAAAGACATACAAGAGTCTTTTCAGCAGTTGTACAAAATATTCTAAGATATTGGTGTTGTTGTGTGGCATTGCTTCACATTGCCACCTAGCCGCCTGGAGTGCATACTACATCGAATTTCACACACTTTAGCGTCACCATATGCACGCGGATTTCCCAACCAAAACGCTTGTCTAAACGTAGAATAAAAAGTGACAACGCAACGCCACTTTTGCGTTTTCTCTTCAGATCGTTTCCGTGTAAACATAGCCTTAGACTGATTGACTTAATACATGTACTAGATGTTCATTGTGAAGTATATTCTGCACACTCAATTTTAACGGCATCTTGCATCAGTGTTTACTGGCCTTCTTATGCCAAATCTCATTAATGTTTACTTGAAGAAATCTGCATTTCAGGGATCAGTTAGTTTTTTCAATTCAAATAAATACTTTGAAAAACCTTGGAAAAGAAAATGCTGGCAACTGAAGTCAGCATGTTACCTGACAGCATGTAATGTCTGAAGACAACATTAAACGCTTAATTCTGTTCAGACTGAGCTATTTTAGTATCTTAACAGTTGTGTCCACGTAAACAAATGGCCCATATACTCACACCTTATGTGAGAACGTCGATCATCAGCTGGTCAGACATGTCACAGCAGACATCCTGCTGAAATGATGTTGCACTTCACTTGCACTGCAAGAGTGATAGAGACAAAAAATGCAGTGTTTATTCATTCTTGTCAACAGAATCCATTGCTCAGTATTTAGTGGTTAGCTACTGAAGATCCATTGCATTATCCATTTATTTGTATTACATATATAAAAATTATACCACGGTCTATCTGAATACTCGATTCGGATTGGCTGTAAGGTGTGCGTTAATCCACTTCACGTCGGGTGGTTCTGTGCCATGTTGCGCATTCAAATCGTTTAATGCACATAGCCTTGGATTATCCATATTTGCAATAATACTGGAACTCAAATGACTTAATCATATATTATATAATTATAATATTATTTGTTTTATATATTATTATTATTATATTATTTTCATGATTTGATATCACAACTTTTTTCCTTTTGTCAAATCAGGTGGTTCAGATAACATAATATTTTGAGTTTCTGTTGATTAAACCAATCTCCTTCATTGTATTAACTCAAATTTATAATTTCAATGAACTCATACTTTTAAGGCAACCAGGTAACTTACTTTTTTAAGTTAAACCAACAATCGTTTTGTT